TAACATTACTGTTGTGTATTCCATCCAATTTAATGAGATTTAAAATTCTAAGGTTACCTCATGTAATAGTTAAAAAGTCAGGTAATTAATAGTTACAAGAGAGAAAATCCGGTTACACTTACGACCGTTCTTACACAAGAAGACAACTTGTATCGGGGGTAAGGGCCAGGTACAACTTTCATGGCCTGCTAACATGTACTGATATTAATTTAATTAATGACAAGGGTTGAATTAATACAATAATATATTTGATAGATATTATGTATATATAAAGTCAGACAAAATTGATAAAAACTTTTAGGAATTATTGTTTTAATTTTGTTCTAAGTTATTATAGTATTATTATAAGAGTTGTCCATAAATAAAATACTGAAGGTTAGATTAGTGTTGTCTCCATGGTTTAGTGCGAACAATTAGGCCAAATTATTGAAGGCAGTAGGCGGCTTGTGACTATAATATAAATTGAACCTTGATCGGCAAATTGGACAAGTTACTCGTTCAACTCGTACCTTAGACCACAAGTTAATTTTACTAATAATTAGTTTATGTTTGGGCCAAGTTCATTGTCTAACTTCTAAGCCCAGTGACCTAAAATTACAAAAATACCCCTTTATGATTCAGCCATCATTAATTATTGCAAAGTACAGATTTATCCTTAATCTGTCCAATCAAGTACAACTTGTGCCACCTGAAAGTATAACTATAAATAGCACTCCAATCATGAATGATGATAACTTTTTCCTAATTATCTCTCTACTTTCTCTCTCTAGAGAATATTGTTGCTGACTTAAGCATCGGAGGAGCTTTTCCGGGTCACACCCCCGGGGCAGTTAACCTTCCTTGTTTTGCAGGTTGAGCTCTCAGACGTGCAAGCGGAGCCCTCAGACATCCCTTTGCCAGGCAGAGCTAAAGGACGTTTGGGTAATTCTAACAATTAACTTTTGGACACCTTGATATACCACCAGGAGAATTCTATTTCCAGAAATAGTTTACATAAAATCTACTACGGCGATTTCTGTTCAAATTTAATAAAAACCTATTGCCTTCATTTTTTTTTTCATTTGTTCTTTATAAAATCTTGATAATTTCTAATTTTTCAAAGTAAAAATAAAAATTATAAAAAAAATTAAATAAAAAATTTATTTTTTCACTATATACCTCTGATTTTTTTTTGTTTATTCACCTTGTACATTTCAAATTTTTCAAATTCATCATTCACCCCTAAATTGTTACAAAAATTCACCATATATAATGACAACAAGATGAATGGAATTTGATTAATAATGCATCAAAACCACCTTAGATCTCTTATCTCATCCCCGAAACCACTCATATCCTTTCTCCAAACCCCGAAGCCATTCCAAATCTTCATAATCATATACGTATGATTGATTTTGAGGATGAAAAATGAAATTTTGGTGGTTTGGGGGTGAAAAAAGGAATGTATGTGGGTGGTTTTGAGGGTAGTGGAATGTATTTAGGTTGATTTCAGATCATAATTAACCCTAATAACTGATGAAAATAGCAATCACTAGTCATCAAGGGCATATGGTATATTTTTGTGAAAATTCGGGGGTATATGATAAATTCAAAAAAATTCAGGGGTATATGACAAATAAACAAAAAACTCAAAGGTATATGGTGAAAAAACAATATATATATATATATTTTAAAACCCCAAAGTTGCACATAACATTTAATGGAGGTAGTAAATGAAATTTAACAATTTTTCTATATTTTAAAGGAAATTTGGTGAAAAACTACCTATTATAGTCGAGAAACTACCTATTAAAAAAAAATGTTGTAATTGACTACCTAATTTTTTTAAAATGTTGTAATTTACTACCTTTACGCCGGATTATGAAGGAGTTTGACCAAAATTCTCCGACGTTGACTTGGTCAAGTGACACTTGGTGAAAGAAAAGGGTCATTAAGTGTCACGTGATGGTCATGTGACCAAGTTAACGCCGGAAAAATTTGGTCAAACTCCTTCATAATTCGGCTAAGGTAGTAAATTACAACAATTTTTGAAAATTAGGTAGTTAATTACAACATTTTTTTTAATAGGTAGTTTCTCACAAATTCTGGACTATAATAGGTAGTTTTTTACAAAATTTCCTATTTTAAAACATAGTTATCTAAATTCTTCTTGATTTTTTTTAAATATGTAATTTCTATTTTTTTTTAATTTAACTTATTATATTTTAATTATAATATTGTATTTAAATTTGTGCAAACAGAAAATATAAACAACAAAAAAAAACAAAGTAAGAGTAGTTATTTTGTACTTCAAGTATTTTTTTTTAAGAGAAAACAAGTAGATTTTGTTTTCACGACAATATTAACAAAACAATAAGAAAGGAAGTTGTGTTATAAAATTAAATTTTTACACATAGTTTTATGTATGATTTACCATAAATAAATAACACAGGGTCGATTGAGTGACCCCTGATCAATTGAGTCTAAATAAGTAACCTCTTATCAATCGAGTAACCCATGAATAAGTAACCCTGATCACAGTGTGTTCAGCTCCTACACAGAAAGCGCGCTCAAATTTTTATTCCTAGACGTAAAAACAAAATAGATCAATGGTATGATATATATATATATATATATATATATATATATATATATATATATATATATATATATATATATTTGTTCTTCTTTCTTATTATCGAAAATTTTGTTTATTTTTTTTTTTATTACTAAAGGCCTGTTTATTTCAGGGGTGCTCAGTTCAGATTAGTTCGGTTCAGTTTTGTGAAAACTCCAATTAGTTCAGTTCAGTTCAGTTCAACTCACTTCATTAAATACGAACAGACGTTAAGTTTTCAGGATACTTATAATTGTCACGATGGGTTTTGTATGATTATTGTGGACTTGTGGTAAAAATTTGGGACCTAATATTACTCTGAAATCATGGATGCTTTGGCTATTTAATAAATAAGTTTGCTCCCCCCCCCCAAAAAAAAAAAAAAAAAAAAAAAGGTGTAAGTATCACAAGACGACCCATTAATGATAGACATAACCGACATTAGACATTAGTGCCAGAAAAGACGACCCACTAATGATAGGTCTAAGTATTTTAATCCTGAACATGATCCAAACACTATCCTAGACAGTGAACCTAGAGCTTTATACAGCTTCAATTACTTAATTAATTACTATATTATGAGTTTTCTGTTCTTTTATTTGCAATATCATTAATAAAACTTATACAATCTTATAAGCCTGTTTGTGCTGTCATTCATAATTTGTTTGTATAAAAATTGAAAATCTAGTCATTAGTTTTGAATATGTAATAAATTGTGTTATTTTGGATTAATTTGATATCAAGTAGCGTGAAACTCCTCTATTCAAAAAAAAAAAAAAAGTAGCGTGAAACTCCAAATATTCATCAATCAATCATCAATCTATCTATACTATATACTCCCTCCATTTTTTAATACTTGCTTCATTTCTCCATGCTCGGATTTTAAGGAGAAATTGCAAAAAGTGATAAAATATAGATAGTAGGGTTAGTGGAAGGTAAATGGGAGGAGAGAGGATGTAAAAGTAATAAATCGGGTCCCATTAGTTGAGAGAAATGAAATATTATAAAAGCTTTCCAAATAAGGAAATAGAACAAGTATTTAAAAACGGCCGCAAAAGGAAAGTGGAGCAAGTATTTAAAAATGGATGCAATACTAAAGTAATCACCAAATGTGACACTTGGCATGATTTTATGAAAAATTTTCCCTCCAAAATGCTCTTTTTTTAAAAAATAAAAAAAAAAATTAAAAAAAAATCTATTTAAAAAATTTAAAGAATAGACATTAATAAATTCAAATTTAAAAATAAAAAAAGTGTTACATAAGTCATTTAATTTCAATTAACTCTATTTCAATTGACTACTAGATTAGTTCCGTGTGGTGCATGATTATAACAAAATATTGCAGTAAAGAACTACAAATACAAATGATCCTTTAAAATTTGTCATAAATTCATTGTTAGAAGGTGAAAATCCTAACACAATATTTTTATACTCATATTTCATAAGTATGTATAAATAAATAGCTTTAATTCCTTGTTAAATGATCAAAAATTTAAAATAAATTGATAGATAAAATTTGATGTGTATTTTGACGGTTTATATTTGATGGAAGGATTTGAGTGATTTTAATGGTGGAAATTTGAAAGATAGTCTTAGAAGGCAACGACTTCTAAGTTTGATTTTAGGAGTAACGATCCCAAAACCCTAGTTAACAACTAGTTTGAACCTTAACAAAGTTCTCTTCAAGCAAAAGCTCAATAATCTCAAATTATAATTCATAAAACATCCTGTTAAAATAATTGACATACAACTAGTATATATAGGAAAAATAAATCTATCCTACTTGCCCTGCAAGCAAACTAAATAAAAAGCCCTAATAATTAATTAATGAACCAAGAGAGCCCACTAATTAATTAACACAACTTTGGAAGCCCAAGGCCCCATAACTACTACTAAGAAAATAATAAAAACATTATTAAAAACTCACTTGTAAAACCCCTACTTTAAGAGTAAGGTAAAACCAAGAGAGTACCTAAATAAAGCAATAAAAATAGTTATAAGGAAGGGGACTCGATTCACATCATTCCCTCCCTCTTAAAAAAAACTTGCCCTCAAGTTTCGTTCGGAAGACAAGGTACCAAGTCACTAGCCCTCATAGTAGCGCAAATTCCCGCTCCAAGAAGTACTTGAAAAGTATCATAATTCTCCCTATGCACAATCTTGAAAGGTCCTTCCTCTAATGGTTCATTCTTACCTCTAGAATTATTAAAGATTTTTTGAGCATTTAAAGATAAGAAAACATACTCACCAATCTCAAAAGGGTGTTGGTTTCTCAATGACAACATATTAGCCCTTCTTTCCTTTTTGTTAAGTTTAGGCATAATCAACAACTCTCTAGCAGGAGCTTGAATAGGTGGCGCCTTAGGGGGTAAAGGATGTAATTGGACTCTCTTATCCCCAACCTTCACTGAATAAACATTTGTAACACCATTAAATAACACCCCTCGATCAATTGCCAAGGACGACCCAAGAGTATAGAACAAGCAGTCATAGGTAAAATATCACACCATACACTATCAGAATATGAACCCATGGAAAAGTTCACCAAAGCTTGCCTTTTAACTTGTAGTCCATCTCCATCATGTAACCAATTAAGCTTGTAAGGAGTAGGATGGTCCCTAGTAGAAAGATTCATAGTGTCAACCAACTTAGTAGATGCAACATTGGTGCACGATCCCGTATCTATAATCAACGAGCAACTCCTATCACCCACTTTGCATATAGTATGGAACAAATTTTTCCTTTGCTCATGTGTAGTAGGAGGAACAAAATTAGCATGCAAAACTCTCCTTAAGATACCGATATGGTGATGTTCAGGTTCAGGAGTAATCTTTTCTTGACCCTCAAACTCTTCAAAATCAAACTCTTCCTCTGTATTGAGCAAACATGTACTCTCCTTCTCTTTCTCTTCTTGGTCAAGATAAGCCAACAACATTCTATGTTCCTTCTTGGATACCGTCACTTTGTTACCACAATCTCTAGCAATGTGTCCCATGCCTTGACACTTGAAACAAACTTTTTTCGCCAATGCAGCTTGTTCGGGAGTAACAACAATCATCTTCCCTTCATTGTTTGAATTGTTAGAGTTGATATTCGAACCCTCACCATTAAAGAATGACTTCCTCTCCTTGAAATAAGAAATTTTCTTTTCTTTCTCCTGTTTCTCAAATCTCTCTGCCAACCTTAAGACATCATCAAAGAACACATAATTTGATGTTTCCACCTTGTGAGAAATCGAAGGTGTTAACCCTTTTATGTATCGTCCAATCTTCATCTCCTCTTTTTCCTGCAAATCACAAAGCATGCACAATTTCTCAAACTCTTTAGTGTATTCAGCGACACTAAGATTCTTTTGTTCAAGATGATTCAACTTCAAGAATTGATCTTGGATAAATTCCCGTGGTAGGAACCGTTTCCTTAATTGTCTCTTCAACTCGTTCCAAGTATTAATTCGTGGCTCATCTTCTCTCAATCTCTTGGCACGTAAATTCTCAAACCATAGAGAAGCATATCTCGTCAGTTTTAGGTTTGCAACCTTGTAGGCTTTTTGCTCATCAAAACCTTTATAATCAAAGACCTTTTCCATCTGACGAACCCAATCTAAAAAGTCTTCGGCATCCCCATCACCTGTAAATTCCGGAAGTTCCAACAACTTCAAATCTCGATCATTGTCAATTGGAAAATTTCTCATGATTCCCCTAGGTTGTTCGTTGTTGATTATTCTTCCTTCCCCAATCACTTGAGTAGACAAAGTTTCAACCCTTTGATTGGTTTGAGCAATTTCTTGTGTACTCTTCTCAATTTTCTCATTCATTCGTTCAAGACTCGCATTAAAATTTCTCATCATATCAACAAGCATAGTATCCAGATCTTCCTTTGTTAAAGTACTCATGATGTCAAAATAATCACAGTCCTATTCGTGGCCAATTATCTCCAAAAATAATAATCTTGCAGCAAGTCGTACTAAAGGCAATAAAAATATTTTGATAAAGCAAACAAAGCAACTAATTACCAAAATACAATCACCTTAAATTAGTATGCTTTAAAATTCAATTAATACCACCGACTACGATAACTGCAACACAACAATAATGACGGCACAACTTATTCTTCTAACTAAACCAATACTTTGTAATTTGGCAGCAATTCCACTAACTCACCAAGAAAATTAAGAGCACATACCAACAAGTAAACTACTATGTAGAAGTTACGAGTACCTTTTGCACAGATACCAACGAATTCTGCAATTCATCCGCTTGAGTACGAATAAGGATTTTTTTCTTCTTCTTATCAATCGTGTAAGTCGAGAGAACTTACAAAACCTAGGCTCTTGATACCAATTTGATGTGTATTTTGACGGTTTATATTTGATGGAAGGATTTGAGTGATTTTAATGGTGGAAATTTGAAAGATAGTCTTAGAAGGCAACGACTTCTAAGTTTGATTTTAGGAGTAACGATCCCAAAACCCTAGTTAACAACTAGTTTGAACCTTAACAAAGTTCTCTTCAAGCAAAAGCTCAATAATCTCAAATTATAATTCATAAAACATCCTGTTAAAATAATTGACATACAACTAGTATATATAGGAAAAATAAATCTATCCTACTTGCCCTGCAAGCAAACTAAATAAAAAGCCCTAATAATTAATTAATGAACCAAGAGAGCCCACTAATTAATTAACACAACTTTGGAAGCCCAAGGCCCCATAACTACTACTAAGAAAATAATAAAAACATTATTAAAAACTCACTTGTAAAACCCCTACTTTAAGAGTAAGGTAAAACCAAGAGAGTACCTAAATAAAGCAATAAAAATAGTTATAAGGAAGGGGACTCGATTCACATCAAAATCATAAGCCTATATAGTTAATGATATACTTATAATACATTCAATATTGCTTTCTAATTGCCCTCTAGTAGCCAACTTTAAAGTAATTAACACAACATCCGAATTGATGAATAACCAAAACCCTTTGATGTAGGAGCTGTAAAGACTCTACAAAATCAAAATATTAAGTCAAAATTTCATAACCATCAATCATCCTACTGTTGGAATAAGGGCCTGTTCATATTTACTGAACTGAGCTGAACTGAACTGAACTGAACTGAACTGATTGGAGCTGAACTGAACTGAACTGAACTGAACTAAGCTGAAATGAATATTTTATGAAAGAGGGAAATTAAGAGCTGAACTAAACTGAACTGAACTGAACTGATTGGAGCTGAACTGAACTGAACTAAACTGATTGGAGCTGAACTGAATTGAACTGAAAATAAGTAAATATGAACAGGCCCTAAGAAGTAAAAGAGAACATAAATAAACATTGAAAATAATACTGATTTTTTTTTAATAGAAAATAATACTGATACTTGCATACTCCATCCATCATGAAATACACATATGCCTCTTTCCCTACAGTATAAACTTAAAAGTAGATAATGCTAGTACTTAGAGGATAAACATGGGCCATGATTTACTCCACCAAATAAACTAATTTCTAATACTCCTAAAAATCTACTATATACTTTATTTGAGGAGATTAATATGCCACTAAATCACTAACAACCTAATATCCCTTAAAACCTAACTTTAAAGCGCATAAATAACTTAATTACAAATTATTTTAAAGGAATAATATCAATGGCTACTGAAAAATTTATAATTCATATTTAACAACGCATAATATAAGATATTGAAAATAAAACTGGGTTTACAAATTAGGTCAAAGAAAGTCAATTAATAAAAAGCTAAAGTAAGGTTGATTGTACTCCATAATTTAATTTAGAAGAAAATACGTATCACTAAAAATAAATTATATTTAAATATTATCATTCAATATAATAAATTATTGTACTCTAGTATTATAATCAAGGTGCAATGCATAATCCCAAGCTCAAAATATCTATTTTTTTATAAGAAACTTAGAGCTAATGCAAAGACAAATTATTGTATTCTAATTTTCTAGAATAAACTTGCATTGTTGAAAGATTTACTTAGCTTCTTATGAAATATCACAAAACAAATAAAAATGACATCATGAAAGCTTTTAGGTGGGGAAAAATTTAATAGAAAAGCAACATGTGTACAATTTGAAGAAAGATGATGTCAACTGTAATATCAGCGGTTGCTACTTTAGTATTAGTTATAGATTATTATATCATACTTGTGCATTGCACGGGGACAGAACTAGTAATAACTATAAACTAAAAGACACACCAGCAATGACACGTGTTATTTTATTATGTGTCCCTTATTTTTTTGTTTTTAATATCTATGTAAGAAATAAATCTTATACATAAATAAAAAATTACAAAAGATTTTCCTTCAAAAAAAATATTAAGAAAAGATTTAAAGTGTCATCCAAATATATATTAATTTTTTGGTGTTTAGAGAGCCATAAGGGCGGGTAATGAGTTATGATCCCAGTATCACCTGGAATCGGGAGGGGAGCTCTAACCACTTGAGCTATCCCTCACACTCTCCATATATATATTAATACCATAAACTTCTCAACATAATTTATGACATAGGTTGAGTTACGTACTACTATACCATTAATAAAACAAGGATTTTTAAAAAAAACAAAAAAAAAATATTTAATCATGTATGAAAAGCTTGCCAAGAAAGTTAAGAAAAAATATTTTAAGTGAGTTGATTATTGGAAAAAAAAATACATACATAAGAGAAAATGAATAATAGTGTGCAAAAAAGAAATCTATTTACGGGTTAAATACATATTTTAGATCTTTATTTGGTTAACAAGAAGAAAACGATGGAAATTTGTTGATGAAATATATATAAATACACACAAATGCATTTTAAATTATCTATTTTGCTAATAATATACTTTTATAGTAAATTCAGTTTACAAATTAATAAGGGCATGTTCACATTTACTTAATTTCAGTTTAGTTCAGTTCAGTTCAGCTCCTAATTCCCTCTCTCATAAAATATTCATTTCAGCTCATTTCATTTCATTTCAATTTAGCTTCAATCAGTTCAGTTCAGTTCAGCTCCAATCAGTTCGGTTCAATTTAGATCTTTATTTGGTTAACAAGAAAAAAACGATGGAAATTTGTTGATGAAATATATATAAATACACACAAATGCATTTTAAATTATCTATTTTGCTAATAATATACTTTTATAGTAAATTCAATTTACAAATTAATAAGGGCCTGTTCACATTTACTTAATTTCAATTTAGTTCAGTTCAGTTCAGCTCCTAATTCCCTCTCTCATAAAATATTCATTTCAGTTCAATTCAGTTCAGTTCAGCTCCAATCAGTTCAGTTCAGTTTAGTTCAGCTCACTTCAGTAAACGTGAACATGCCCTAACTTAGCCAGATTTCTTCTCTTGCTGAACTAGATGTAACTTGATGCCCTATTAATAATATCCCCCATCTTGCTTTTAAAATTAAAGAAAAGTAATTGAAAGTTACCATGTATGACACGATACTTAACCTAGTATAATTAAAAAAAAAAATTTGAGAAAGAAATGTTATCGTGGAAAGATCAACTTATTAGTTATTATTGACTCTTTCTTGCACATTGAATAATATATAATTAAGAGACTTAAAATCTAAGGCATCAAGCGCACAAGTTAGCAATCGGTAGGTACAAAGCAATATCATCTAACCTCCGATAAGTCAAACAATATGCAAGGAGTATCACTATACTCATGAACTATGCTGTCACACACGTTAGTTGATTTTGATGTATTACATTAATTTTAAATTGATGCATTATATTTTATTTTGTTGAATTAGATATTTAAAAATTGTTAATTCCACAGTTGTATTCTTAACAGGCATTGCAATTGAATGAATTTTTTAGGTTACAGGACTTTTGTAAGTTTGTGAATTATGAATGTATGATAATGTATGTACAACTAAACATTTTTATTATTTAACTATTTATATATACGGTGCTCCATCAATTACTCCGATGATTATTAAGTTGACCTTGAGTTTTTGAATTGGTAATATTAATCCTCAATGGAGGTGCTTTTTCATTATCTTTTGTGCAATGATTAATTGAATAATATGGTTTTTAATTTATTATTGGGTTAGAACCCTTGCAATGCATGGTTTATATAAATCTATTTTTATAATTTATACATTTGAACCCGTCAAAAAAATATATAATTTATACATTTGAAAAAAAAAAATATATATATATAAATAAGAATTATGCACCTCGTACAAAAATATTTGTAATTTTAAATTTTTAGATTTTCATTAATATTATGATATAAAACCTGTTCAATATCGTCAAATACATGTTTCAATGTCCAAGTTCATTTAATAATGGGCTATTTACAATTATTTCATTTTCTTAGGAGCTGAAATTGTAATGTAGAAGTTTCTAATATTCGAATTTTAAAATTGTTAAATATGGTAACACTATTAAAAAAACAAAAAAAAAGAGAGAGAGATAGAGAGAGAGATGACATCAACCTTGCATTTAGGCGGGAAAAGTTTAATGTGAGAATGACTTATGGATAGCGATGATGCCAGCAACGTTTTGTTTAATAATAGTTAATAGATCTTTAGTGGTAGTGCTACTCAGACTTTTTGAGGTTTTGTAATAGTTTTTTTTTCAAAAAAAAAAAATTGATACTTGCTCTCAAAAGTGGTGATTTAAATAGAAGTTGTTGATAAAATTTCCGTAAAAATAACATACTAAAAAATTTAATGAATAAAAACTTACAGTAATTTATAAAATATTTTAAATTATATATCTAATACAAGAGTTTTTAGGGTAGACATTAAATAAATTCAATGTACATTAGTCATTTCATTTAAACTAACTTTATTTAATTAACTTTTATTATTTACAAGTTTTATTATTCTGAATTAGTTCTTTGTACGGCGGGGCAAAAACTAGT